CGTTATCACAGGCAACGAATCCCATATTGACCAATACGCCATTTAGCTTCTCGTTCCAGGCCCTTCCTGATTGTTTCAAGCCATATATTGCTCTCTTCAAAAGCAATACTTTGTCAGGATTTGAGTCATCTGAGTACCCTTCCGGCTGCTTCATGTAGACCGTCTCACTCAGATCACTGTTGAGATACGCGGTGCATACATCCATTTGATGAAGATGTAGCTTAAGCTCCGCCGCCAGTGCTATAATAAAGCGCACACTCTCCAATCGGCATACTGGCGAAAATGTTTCTTGGTAATTTACGCCAAACTGCTGAGCGCATCCTTTTGCTACCAGTCGAGCCTTGAAACGTTCTATTTGGCCATCTTTATCACGCTTCACGTTGAACACCCACTTGCATCCAATGGCTCGCTGATCTTTGGGTAAATCAGTGACTTGCCAAGTCTGGTTGGCAACCAGAGAATCATATTCTCTTTCCATGGCTTCACGCCACTCCTTTGCATTATTACTCTCCAGCGCCTCTCTGCAAGTTAACGGAATCGGAACATTTTCCGAAATAAGGGCGCCTAGGATATTGTACTGCTTCTTTGGACGTCCAGGTTTTCCAGTCCGAATGATCTTAGGGCGGCCGGGGCCCCTGCGTGCCTCCTCCTCGACATGCTCACCCTTTTCTTCAGCACTCTCGTACTGATCCGTGCTATCATCGGAGCTGTCGGCGTCGATGGATGAGTCAGAAACGACTTCTGCATCTCCGAGTCCCTGCTGCTGACGGTCCTCCTCCAGGTCCTCCAGCTCGATCGTCACAGTATCATCCTTGGATGCCACGTCATGATGTTCATCAAATAATACATCCCGTTTTTCGACCAATTGTCCAGTTGATGGGTCATACAGTCGATAACCTTTGGCTGCAACAGAATACCCAACCATAATGTACTCCTTTCCCTTAGGTTGAAATTTGCTGCCCTTCCTCGGACCCTTGTCCAGAGCAACTGCAAGAGATCCAAAAACCTTTAGATGTTTTGCATAAGGTCTCTTACCCGTCCACGCTTCCATAGGAGTCATACTCTCTAATGCGCTGGTAGGGGAACGATTTCGCAGATAAACCGAAGTGTTGACAGCTTCTGCCCAAAAACGATCTCCCAGTCCCGCCTGGACCAGAAGGCATCTTGACATCTCCACTAGCGTACGATTTGCCCGTTCCGCAACTCCATTTTGCTGGGGAGTATATGCTATTGTTAGCTGTCTGTCGATTCCATGCTGCTTTAGACATTCGTCAAACTGTTTATTGACAAATTCTCCGCCATTATCACTCCGCAGGCATTTCAATCTTTTTCCTGTCTGCCGTTCCACCAGATTCTTGAATTCGATGAATTTAGATAGCACCTCGTTCTTTCCATGCAGGAAATAAACAAAAATCCTCCTGGACTTATCGTCAATGAACGTCAGAAAATACTTGGAACCTCCGAGGGATGGTGTTGGAAAAGGTCCACAAACATCTGCGTGTATCAGCTCCAAAAGCTCCTTAGCCCGATTACTCGTTGCAGATGGAAAAGGTTGAACATGGATTTTGCTAACCATACACGTTTTGCAATTAATATTCTCTGGCAACCGAATATTTTCTATTCCTCGAACTATCCCTTTGGATACCATCTCTTTCAAGCTAGAGAAATTAATATGTCCGTATCTCTTGTGTAGCAAAATTCCATCAACAGCTGACATGGCAAAACATTTACTTCGGCCACCTTCAAATAAGTACAAGTTGCCAATCTTTTTGGCTTTCACTATGCATTCTCCATCTTGCATCACCTTGGCATTCTCTATGTCAAAGGTCACCTTGCACCTGTTCTGGACAGCACTGCTCACGGAATAGAAATTTCCGGTCATCTTCGGAACGTAGAGAACATCTTTTAGTGTCAACATGCACTGGCCTGTCTGTATCTTGACGTCACCTATACCTTCTGCTTGAAGGAAACCAGCATCGGCCAGTCCGATCTGTTCAGTGTGCTTCTCAAACTTTGTGAATAGCTCTCTTGCGCAACACATATGGCTTGTTGCGCCACTATCTAAGCACCATGTTGAATTGTCAATTTTGTTGACGTCACAGGCGTGCAACAGGCTGCTTTGTCGATTCACCATACTTCTTGATTCCATACGATGATCTCCCTCACCCTCTCTTCGACACTGGGACTTAATGTGCCCTTGCTCACCACACTTGAAACAAACGATATTTTTTCGTTTCTTCTGTCCATACGTTTTTGTCTGTGAGTTGTGCTTGTGTATTGCAGCAAATGCTTTAGTGTCGACTCGTTCCTCTGTTATTCCTTTTCTTTCGCTCTCCTCCTTTAACTTTATGGTGAGAATTTCGAACGAAGGTAACTGATCTCGTGTTTCCATAGCGACCACGAAATGTTCAAATTGCTCTGGAAGACTTGATAGCAAAACGATAGTGCGAAGTTCGTCGTTTATGTCTATTCCAACTCCAGTTAGACAATCCAGAATTTCCACAAATTCACTTATGTAGGTCGTTATGCTCTGCCCTTGCTCCATCCGTTTATTGAGCAGTTTCTTGTATAACTGTACTTTTCGTACAGGTCCGCTTGGTTGATGAACTTCCTTCAACTTAGTCCATGCCTCCACAGCCGTTAAGCAATTCTTGATGTAGGCCAATTGAGATGTCTTGACACTCAATGTTATTGTCGCCAACGCCTTACTGTCCAAGGCCGCAAACTGTTGTCCTTCCGGAACATTCGTTTCAGTTAGCTCTCCAGACGTAACACTCCACAGACCGGAATGCACTAATACAGATCGCATCTGTATTTTCCATGTATCATAGTTTGTCTCCTCTAACTTATCAATTTGATAAAGAGCACTCATTGTTCTTAATCTTGAGTCACACACCGAATAACTTGAACTCTCTAGTGCCTGGGCCCATAACCTATTGAGCGGCAGAATTCGAAGCCACCAAAATCAGAAAACCGTGTGTATGCTTCGGAACTTTATTTGTGACTGACAAATGTAGCGAAAAAAAATGAAAAAGTTGTTATACATAATTTTCTTATTCTCTATTTCTTAGGACCATACAAGCGTGCATTGCATCATCCTAATATTGTACCGGGTACTTTATTTTCTACAAAACCAAAGTCATATTTCACCAATCTGCAATCTCCACATTTTCGCAGCCAATTTCAAAAATTGAATGTTCACGGCGCGAGGTGGATGGCATAAATTTTGTGGCTCTAAACTGGTGAGAACAGGAGCTGCAGGACCAAAGCTGCACGCTTGGCCACCACCCGTAGCTCCTACTCCTCCTCGTGCTCCTGCTCCTGTCTTTGATTAATAGCCAAGGCCATAAATCTGAAGCCGGCGGGCCGTTGAGCGGTCTCCGGGTCTCAGGATCAGGGTGCTAGTAAAATCAGGTAAGTAACTTGCATAACTTACCGACCCGGCCAATGGTCAACGGGTCTGGCTACTTGTTATGGTTTTGGCCATCGGCCACCCGCTAATGAGAGGCTGTCCGTGGGTGGGAGGCTGTTCCATGGTCCTGTCTGGTTGGCATCGCGTCCCAGGACACAGGCCCCGAGACAGGGACAGAAGTGTCTGTCATGTCAGTTTTGCGCGCTCGGCGCTTATCATTTTTCAGACTTTGTCCCGCCAACCGAAAAAAACAAATGACGCTAATAACTTGGTCGTGACCGAACAATAAGAGTTGGCCGAAATCGCTGCCAGGCTAAATTGGAAGATACATGGCTAAAAAATGGTTGAAGAAAGCTTCAAACTTTAGCCGAAAAAAAAAACCTATTAAACTTCCAACTCTTGAGATTAGTTTCTCATATTTTTTTATGGTTTTCAGCAAGTTAATAAATCAAAATACTATCAATATTTAAACAAAAGGAAATTCCATTTTTAAGAAACAGGGCTTGGTCCTTTAAACTCGTTTTCTATAGTCCCTTTAAAGAAACGTTCAAAATGTAACAGATATCGTAAAATGTAATTGTCCTGAGAATATTGTTCTGGCCATGCACTGGAAATAATTTTGATTAATAGATCTGAAGCTGAGGACAAAGGTTCTCTCAGACTAGGCATCTATAAGAGTCTACAAGAAAAGACCTTAAAGACTCATTATTATTAAATCTCTTGCAGTAATTTCCCTCGGTGTGACATCAAAATATTTTCCAATTACCAAGGAAATATCCCCATTCAGAGGCGCTCGATAAAAGGCAATTAAAAATGACTTATGCCATTGTTTTGGCTTTTCCTGCTCGAAAGCTCAAAGTTTTATGGGGGTCAGCTGGGGGCCAGGCCCTTTCTGCCCTTCATCTGGGCCAACATGTGTGTGCAATGGCCGAAAGTTTTGTTTTTTTTTTTGAAAACTTCTTGCCCCCAAAACGAATTCCCAGCCAGTGCAAAATTAATACACAATTTGTTTCGAGTACGAAATACGAATGGTGGATTAGCCACCGATGGGCTATGGCCTTAACTTTCCATTTCAGGACTTATCGAGAGCATTGGGATTACCTCAACCGTTTCATAAAACTTTGACAATTAAATCGAGAGGTTTCTAACAAAAAAAAATAAATAAATGAAAGAAAAGAAATTTCAGTTAAACGAAATTGTTGCAACGGGTCCGAGAGTCGAGGGAAATAGGTGGCGGGCTCCAGGGATCCTGTAGTTTCATAGCTGGACCATAAATACTCCGCACCCATACAGACCCATAAAAAGCCAACGCCATCGGCATGCAGAATGCATTGCGAGGACGAGGACGAGGGCGAGGGTGAACACAAAAAATAAGGATAAAATAAGAGGAAGGGTTGTGGCAGGACCTGCCATAAACATTTGCATTTGATGGCACTAAAAAATGGGGCTTGGATGTGGCAAGCAGTTGACATAAAATAAAATAATATTCGCAATCAAATGGAGCCCTCGGCTTGCCATCAATTCTTAGCCCAGGACGGTGCAACGCTATGATTAAATTTTAGTTTCTACCTTGAATTAAGAAAAATAGTTTACATCTCAAATAAACCGTGGGTTTTTATTTTTATTTTTTTTTTCACAAACGAAAGCCATATTTAAGACACGCAACCAGAGAATGGACTCTTTCACTCCAAATACCAAGGCTGAGGATGCGACGACAACATGGATCCGCTACGTCGGTATGATAATGCAGGTGGGATTAGTCGATGGGACATAAGAGAGCTCGAGGGCTTTAGTGCACGGGATTGGGTGGGTTCTTGGCGCCTACCAGAAGTCGCCCTTGGCACCAGCTCCGGCACCTGATCCCGAATACGCCCCGCCCCCCTGCAGGCTCAGGTCCATGCCGTTGTAGGCACAGAAGGCCTCCCCGTTTTCGAGGCACGGCTCGTACTGGGTCTGGGGCTGGGGCTGCCCAAAATAGCCCATCGCCATGGTGGGGCAGTTGATATGCCGGAAATCGCCCATGCCGGCCATCTGCATCTGTCCAGCTCCGAATCCGCCGGGAAAATAACGAGCTCCGCCGGGGGACATGCCCGCTAGTGCTGCAGCTCCCGCCGCTCCGGCTCCGATGCGCCACGGCAAGCCCGATGGATTCTGGCTCATGAGGTCACCCATTTGTGGGTAGACGGGAGCGGTCACCGGCTGGCCGTTCCAGAATGAGAATCCGCTCGACATCCTGCCTCGAAATACACTTGACTTTTCACACGGAATTGAAAGAAATATTAATTCTTTTTCAGATTTCCCTGATTTTTTAGGACGGTCTTCTGCAAATTAAATATTTTTTCGAAAATATCTCTACACACAATAATTTACTTTTTCGTACCTATTTTCCTTTATTATTATTTAAATTTTTGAATTTGGAAAAAATTTTAAATTTCAACTCTGAATTTGGAATAACCACACGGTCTGAACGTTTCCGAGTCTAGATTTCAACTGAGCTCTATTGGAGACAAGGCCCAGGGGCACCACTTGACAGCTCCAAAAGTTAGTTCCATGGACTACTATTTTTGATATTTGATTATTTTACTTCTAGATTACTAGATAACGACTTTATTTCCTACAGAGGCTCTAAGAAAATTGTCGAATTCCGATTCGGAAAATAAAATGGAGGATGGAGAATAGTTCTTTGCTTCTTTTAAGGCATTCCACTAGAGGATCTGATGATTCTTAGAGAAATTATAAACTTTTTTGGGGCCACAAAGTCTCCCATACCCTAATTTTTACCAATAAAATTTATCAAAATTTCGGATTAGACATTCAGTAAGAATGATGGAGCTAAGTTCTCTGCTTGTTTTAAGGTATTCAGCTAAAAGATTCTTTTCTTTCTACGAAACCTAAAAAAAAGACGTATTCTAATATGAAATTATTGGTCTTTCAAAGTCAATTCCACTCTGGCTGTTTTTCGTCTATTAATTGTTTACTATTCTCTTTGGTTTCCTGGTCCCTGGCCAAGTCTTGTGTCCTGCTCAGGATTATCCTGGCTCTGGCTCTTTTTTTTTTTTTTTTTTTGATATTTTTCACTTCCGCCTCTGGCAGCGCCTGAGAAGTTCCAATGTTAATTAGCAGCTGACCGAACACTTCGCAATGGGCCGAGGGCAGTCAATTAGTCGACATCAATTGGCACGCCCACTAACATGACGCCCACTCCAGGCTTGGGTCCCGGGCTTTGTTGTTTTCTGCATTTAATGCGCATTAATTGCGCATAATTAAATTTTCTACAATTTTATTATGCACTTTACATGGCAAATGCACAACATTAAAACCAGATTAAGACGGCCGTTTCGTAAATTGGTAGAATTAATGGCATACTGATAGTTGTCCCTCCGTCCCCTCCCCCCTCCCTTTCCAATATTTTGGCATCTTTTGTAATGGCGTTGGCCGCCATTTTACTTTCTACCTCCCTTCCCTCTCGCTCTCTCGGTTGTTGTATCTCTTTTTAGTAGAATCGTAATTTTCGTTTTTTATCCGTCATTTAACAGAAATCGTGTCAGTTGCGCTGTCATTGTTGTCAATATTATTATTATTATTATTACCTCTTTGTTGTTGTTGTTTTCCTCGTCGATCCTTGGCTCCTTGTTTCTGGCCTTCTCGGTTTCCGTTTTTTTTCGCCCGTGTTTGCCTGTTAAATTCCAGAATGAATATTTAATTTCATTTTAATGCGGTTTAAATGCCAGGCGACTGACTAACGCACAGGACCAACCATATATATTTTATATACATACATATATTGGCATTTATTTATGCACGAAAATGCATATGTATGACATTCAAGCAATTAATACACTGCTGAAAAATGCATAGGATCTTTAAGAATTCCAAGGTAATTAAATCCCACAAACAACTTAAATTTATTAAATATTTTTCCAAAAAATTTTCATATATTTCTCATACTTCCCATTTAACATTATCTTTATAATTAATTGGAATATGGAAAATATTTCATTAAAATCCAAAGCATCGCACTAATTTATAGCATGCGATAAATTCGTGTGGGAAATTCTCTCTCTCTAGCTTTTAGGCTAGAGCGCTCTCACGCTAGCGGTAGCCGAAGAAAAGTCCCAGGCGCAGGATATTTCCCTTCGGCTTCCCCCAATCCACCGCCAAGACCAGAAGGAGGTGGTGGGGGATGCAGGCTCCTCTGTGGAGGAGGAGGAGGATGGGAAATTTCTACAGCTGCTTTTTACGCATATTTTTGGCGCCGGTAAAATTTGTCGCTGTCTCCTAATGCACGCAGAAAAATAATTAATTTTTATTAAATTAATAAGCTACCAGAGTTTTCATTAATTTGGCCATATCCTTATGATATCCTTATGGAATACTAACTTATTTAGAATTTGACGAATCTCTCTTGGTAGTTTTTTCTCTCAGTGCTGGGCCTGAGTCTTTAGTAAGCTGTAATGGCTTCCCTGGCAAACGGGTTGTGTTCGTTTGGCTAATTAAACATTTGACAATTATTAATACATTTCAAATGGTTGCAGTGCGAAGGAAAAAAGAACTGAGCAAATATTTAACAGCTGCTCAAGGCACACATATCTACAGACATATGTACATATGTATGTGCACTCATCCCTGCACTATATTTCCTACAATATGTACATATGTATGTCCTCAGTATGTGTGGCAAGTGGGTCGACGCCTTCGGAGTGTTTGCTGCTGCGTCATTAAAAGCGCTGTGCCGACTGTCGTTTTTAGGATCCTGCACTGAAACTAAAATTTATATATAGTTTTTGTTTATACCAGCCATACCCAATAATCAAGGACTATGAAATACTGGCTTGGTATTTTTAAATCCTTTGGAGAAATAATTTTTAGAAGACCTAACTTGAAAGTACAGGAAGGACAACACCTTGACGGCATTTCACTTTTGATTTTATTTTTAAAACACTCGTATTTGTTTTTGTCGCCTTTTTAATTGCTCTTGTTGCTATTTGTTGTCCTGGCTGTGTTATTATGCTAACACAGCTTCTTCATTTTCTTAGCCATGTTGTCACCTTCGGTAGCCTGGCCAACGAGGCGTATGAGTAACGAGTGTGTGAAACAATAGGCATAATCCTTGTTTGCTTCAAGTCAATTTCATGGCTCGTTTTTAATTGTTTTTATTCAATCAACAGTGAAATAAATTGCACGATTTATTAAAATATGAACAAGGATTCAACAAGGCAATTAAAATGTGAAAACAAAACCAGGTTTTTAAGATCCTTATTAATACATAAGCCTGCACAAAATAAATATAGCATATAGAGGTCCTTGGGAGCACTTTCAATTATTGTTTTATCTTCTGGGTGTTTCAGTTCCGAGGCACTTTTATGGTCGCGCTCTTTTTTTGGTTGACTTGGCTTGGAGCGGGGCCAAGATTTCCAGATTGGGCCACAAGCAAGGTCACCTCGCCCGCACACTCGCAGGCATGGGCATGGGTATGGGCTTTGGGCCAGGATACTTGGGGTCTAATCAAGCCCAAAACCAAAACAACAAAGGACACTGGACGGCGGATGGTGGGCAGGTGGCAGGACAGGTCGCAGGACCTCTTTGTCAAATGTGTGCCATGACCTTACGCACAAACACTCTGATGATGAAGGTCCTTTAAATAACAAATCGCCAAAATGAACAAACCATAAAGCTAATTGCCATTCAAAATATTTTAGCATTCAAAGTGATAATCTTAATGCCACATTTCAATCAAAATGAATATTATTGGCAAGAGGAGACTGTCACAAAATGGAGATTGAATTCATTAACGCATCAAGGCTTAATGGCAACTCGTTGCCTAGAATTTTCAATTAAATATCATCTAGATACGGATAGAGTTTAGGAATGTTTGTGTTTGAATGATTTGTTATTGAGGCTGGAAATTAACCCACACACACATTCGCACTCGCACTCACACTCACATCCTGAGTGATATATGTGTGTGTGAAAATACAAGGATGATGCCGACACACGCATACATAATAAATGAAATCAAGTATTCAAATATGCTGCCATTTTTCCCATCCCATCCCATTCCCATCCGCCTTGACTTTTCCATCCAGCCAGGCAAGTGTTCAACCGCAACTAAGATGGCACTCTCCTTCGGCTGCCTCTGCCTCTCATCCTACCTGGCTCAGCGTTATCCTTTATCCTTTTCTCTAGACTCCTGGCTAAGTCTCTTCTCGGCCCACATAAGTATGCTATGGATTCTGTCAGAATGTTAATCCAATCCCATTGCGGTTGCTTTGTAGTGTCTGTGTGTGGCTGAGTGTGTTAGTCCTTTATGGGTGTGTCAATGTGCGTGTGTATGTGTGAAGGAGGTTCTGAATGTGTTGATTTCTAGCTAAACAAAAAAAACAAAAAACCCAAAAACAGACCTTAACCTGTGAAAGCCCATGACCCAAAAAAAGGAGTTTTCATTTCAAAAAGGATTAATATTATTCATCTGTGGTATAGATATTTATTTATTAAATTCAATAAATTATAGAGAAAATAGATATATATTTCTAAGATTTGAAACCAATATCTTAGTGTGTTAATTCCATCTTCCAGAGAAGCGTCTTCGACTTTTCCTAATGAAATAGTCCTGTGGTGCGATAAGTGTGTGTATGTGTGTGAGAATGGCTTTGTATTCGTTTGTTTGTTTTTTAGGCCTCTTGCAAACAAAGGCGCCAGTCGGTGGAGAAAAAAGGGTTCTGCTTCTTCCTCTTCCTGGCCATATCCGGCGCCGCCTTAGCCTTTTTCGCCCTCGTCTTTCTAACTTCTGCCTTTCTGGCTTTCCTTGTTTTTTTTTTTTGTTGGCATTTCGGCATTAAAATTCAAAATACGTTCGCCAAAAGGCAAAAGCCAATTTCAACCTTCGCTGCCTGACAAAATTCATTTGGCAATCGACAACGAAGCAGGTCCGATTCTCCTTTTGCTGCGTGAAAGGACGAGAAGGACGAGGGGTCTTTCAAAGGAGAGAGATTTTCCGGAGTTTCCCGGATTTTTTGGACCGAATTGCGATGTCTCCGTCTCATGCATAGTCAACAAGCGAATGTTGCCAGTTGTCCTGGCTAGGGTTCTGCGTCCGGGATCCTGGCTCCTGCCTTCTGGCTCCTGGATCCCTTCGATACAGTTCGATTCGTTTCCAAGTCCACCAAATTGCTTGCTTCGTTTAGTTTTCGCGTTTTGTTGGTTAGTCAGCTGACAGCTGTAAGCTAAAAATTGCACGCACCAGCGAAAATACCAAGCAAGGATATAAAGGATTCAAGGATATAACCAGCTAAGGGTAAGGACACTTCAACCAAAACATAAATGGAGCTAAGATTGATTTCATCACTTGAACTGATATTTGATTTTTGAAAGCCTTCGTCACTGTAACTCCCACAGGATATCAATTAGTCTACACTTTAGTCCTGGATTTTAGTGCATATTTGATAGGCGGAAAGGGGGCGTGGCTTATCTGACATTTACGCAGTACAACAAAAAAGAGGGAACGATGCGAAAAAGTTGGC